GGACTGCGTCTGCCTCTTGAATTGGCCCAGGCCAGGGAGGAAGGCAGCTAGCAGCACCCTTAGCTGCCTCCGAGAGCAGAGAGAGGAGGCCAGCAGGTGGTGGGGCTGCTGGCACAGTGGGGCCGGGGCTCTGGGCACTGAGACGGGGTTTGCTGCTTTCATGCTGAGTTAGCTTTGGGCTGCAAAGACGATGTGTTTTCTTAGTGTCTGGTGCACTTTATTAAACACTAGAGGCCCGGTGCATGAAATTCGTGCAGGAGTAGGGTCCCTAGGTCTGGCCAGCGATCAGGGCCGATCAGGGCCTTCTGGCTGCCGGCTGGGGCCTTCCTTCCCTGGCTTCTGGCTGCCGGCCAGGGCCTTCATTCTGCACTGTCCCCTGGTTGCCAGCACACATCATAGCGAGCAATCAAACTCCCGGTCAAACTCCTGAGGGGACACTTTGCATATTAGCCTTTTATATATATAGATATACACACACATTCACAACTGTATTCCATCAGCAAATGCACTTATTGGACTCTCTCTGTTTGTCTCACTGGGGTATGTGTGAGCTTCAAGAGATCATGACAACAGCTAATACCGGGCCAGGCACTGTGCTGGAGCATTGGTGCCCTGATCGGTCCTTGGCCTTGACATCTTCCACTTTAGTGAGAGACTGACCAGATGCTTCGGCAGGGCCAAAGTCGTGCCTGGGCCCATCCGCTGTGGGCAGAGGAGCAGGGCTGGTAAGAGCTGGGCAGCCCCCGGGAAACCATAGTGAAGATGGTGGGAGTTGGAGGGGGCCGTGTTCCAGAAACAGGAGGGGCAGTAACTGAGTCAACTCAACCCCCAGAGCGGATTGGCAAGTGAGCCCAGTGAGTGCTCTTCCCTGCTGTCTCCTCTTCCCGCCTCTCCGAATCCCTTCCCAGGCCTGCTCCGTGACCTGGAGGAAGCCACGGAAGTGCTTGTGGAGTGTGCCTGGAGGTGACACAAAACTGGGAAGAGTGACTAACACCAGCACGGCCCAATCAAGATTCCGGAAGAGGCCAAGCAACTGGAATGAGGAGTCTCAACCCAAGAAAGTGACAGCAAGTCCTGCCTTGATCATAATGATGGGGCTGAGGGTGAAGGGTAGGGCTGTGAGGGGCCTCGAAACTCACAGACATTTGAAGAAACCGCTGTTGGGCCCTCAGACACCTGTCACGGGAGGAACTGGCTTTGCTGTCTCGGTCCAGGTTTGAGCGGGCGTACGGGGTCCAGGAAGGCAGACCCAGCTCCATGAGGGGGCTGCCCATCGGTCTGAGCTGCCCAGGGGCCAAAGGAGGCTCTGTGAGTGAGTGAGTGAGTGCATGAGTGAATGAATGAGTCTCTGTTTTGTTTTGTTTTGTTTTTGTTTGTTTTTTGGGGTGGGGGGAGGTATTCCAATAGAGGAGGAGGGCCTCACCCTGAACAGACTAGGGAGAAACTGTTTTTTGGGTCAGAGGTTGGACTCGGATTCCTTCCAGATAAGCACAGATGACTGAGGCCTACCCTTCCCTATGGTGAGTTCCTGGAAGAGGCTGCCTGAGCAGGTGTGAATCACAGGAAGTGGGGAGGGGAGGGGAGGGGAGGAGTCAAGAGAGCTGAGCATTGGGTCGGGTGGGGTGTCTCATGTCCCAGATGCACATGCCCTATGGCAATGATGGCGAACCTTTTGAGCTCGGCGTGTCAGCATTTTGAAAAACCCTAACTTAACTCTGGTGCCGTGTCACATATAGAAATTTTTGATATTTGCAACCATAGTAAAACAAAGACTTATATTTTTGATATTTATTTTATATATTTAAATGCCATTTAACAAAGAAAAATCAACAAAAAAATGAGTTCACGTGTCACCTCTGACACACGTGTCATAGGTTTGCCATCACTGCCCTACAGCGTGGCTAGGACCAGGTAAGAGAAACAAGGCCCAGGGTTGACTCATTTAGGACAGTTGTGTTTGCACCTCAGAGTACCAAAGGAGAGTACACTTAGTTAAAGGGCTCAATGGCCAAATGAATTTGGGAAACGCTGAGATAGCTGCAGATTTTGATGGCATTACTGTTCAGAGGCCCTTCATAAGCTGACAGCTTGTTCTCCAAATCGGGATATACACTTACCTCCAATTATTGCCTTCCATTTATTTTTTAGAAAGGAAGGGCCCTAGCTGGCTTGGCTCAGTGGATAGAGCATCAGCCTGCAGACTGAAGGGTCCCGGGTTCGATTCCAGTCAAGGGCACACACCCGGGTTGTGAGCTCGATCCCCAGTAGGGGGTGTGCAGGAGGCGGCCGATCAATGATTTTCTCTCATCATTGATGTTTCTGTCTCTCTCTCCCTCTCCCTTCCGCTCTGAAAGCAATTAAAAAAAAAAAGAAGGGCGGAAAGGACGTTTGGAGTGGCAGAAGTAATGTTATGTTGTCATCAAATCTTACTTTATTTTTCTCTTTCCAGGAAGACATTCCCAGCCTCTCCTGTCGTAAAGACCCAGCACCAAAGTAGGGCCTGGAGCCCGGCCAGTGCAGGCCACATGCAGTTCACTCTGCAGCCTCTCTGCTGACTGACGAGTCCTCTGGGGATGCGTGGTCTCTGGCTCTGGACAGAAACCCGCTGAAACTGGCTCGAGCAAAAGGGCCAAAAGAATTGGCTGGTGGACGCCGACCTGCAGGAAAGGCCTCAGGAATGGCTGGAACCAAGGACTGGAACCATTGGAGCACTTTCACCTCTTCTTTGAGCATTTGACCTTCTCGCCTTACAGACCCATCGCCCTGTGAATGGGAGGCTTGGCTTCCTCTGACCTCTGCAACCTGGCAGGAAAAGACTCTCTTTCCCCAACTCGTTTAAAAAAAACAAACTCAAGTAAATACCTGAAATACCATGATGTCACTGTGGAGCAATCGTTTGGCCAGGGGGGTGGGTGGGGTAGGAGGACAGCAGCTCCCCAGAAAACCTGTTCGTGGTCAAGAAAGGAGGGATTCTTTTCTAAAAGAGGCAAGTCCAGGATCACTCCTGGGGAAATTGTGAATCAGACATGTGCCCTAATTTTTTTAAACAAGTTTTTATATATCTATCCTATATAATAAAAGGCTAATTGACCAAACAGCGGAACGACCAGTCAGGCACTGACCACCAGGGGGCAGGTGCTCAATGCAGGAGCTGCCCCCTGGTGGTCAGTGTGCTCCCACAGGGGGAGTGCCACGCAGCCAGAAGCTGGGCTCACGGCTGGCGAGTGCAGCGGCGGTCGTGGGAGCCTCTCCTGCCTCTGCAGCAGCACTAACGATGTCTGACTGCCGGATTGGCCAGCAGTTGGACATCCCCCGAGGGCTCCTGGACTGCGCATGCCAGTCTGAGGGGACCTGCCCCCTGGCAAGTGCACGAATTTTGTGCACTAGGCCTCTAGTATATACACACACACACACACACACACACACACACACACACATATGGCTAATATGCAAAGTGTCCCCTCAGGAGTTTGACCGGGAGACCGGGAGTGCGATCCCTCACTATGGCATGTGCTGATCACCAGGGAGTGGCGTGGAATGAAGGAAGGCCCCAGTTAGCAGCCAGGGAAGGAAGGCCCCAATTGGCACTGATCGCCAGTATAGGCCGCTTCCTGCACACACACCCCCACTGGGGACCAAGCCTGCAACCCGGGCACGTGCCCCAATGGGGAATCGAACCCCAACCTCCTGGTTCATAGGTTGATGCTCAACCACTCAGTCACACTGGCTGGGCCCTAATGTGTGTCTACCGCAGGTACCATCAGAGCTCTAACGTCACACGGGCTCCACAAAGCCTTCGGCCCTGATGCCCCACCTCGGCGTTCTCCCTTGGTTGTGTTTTGGCAGCAGTGAGACAGGAACTTTCCAAAACGAACTTCTGTGAAGAGCCCGAAACACAAAAGCACCAGGAGAGATGGCTTCGGGCCTAGAAGACCCTGTGTGGCATGGCCTTGACTGTCCTGTTGGTCCCTGACATCGTCTACTTTGTGACTTGGCTAAGCCAGGAGTTTAAAATGGGGCTGGCCTCTGGGGGCAAGATCCCTGCTTGTGGGCGAGCCTCGCTGGCCACCCAGCACCCACCTCTGCACCCAGCTTTGATTCTTTCTGCCTATTGGGACAGTCACTCTGCTAGGGTAGTTTTTTGTTTGTTTTTGTGTGTTTTTTATTGCTAGGCGAGGTGGCAGGTGTGACGTGATCTGAGAAAGCGATGGTTCTTGGTCACAGACAGGTTTTCGTGGTGGGGCATGTCGAACACAGGGAAGACCCAGCTCTGTGATGTTGACTAGCTTCCTGCAGGGTTCACCCTGGAACTCTATCATTCATCAAAGGCCTAAGTAGTGCAGACACTGCACCTCAAAAGAGAGAAGAAAATGGTATGGCCGTTCCTCAAAAAAATTAAACAGAACTACCATGTGACCCAGCAATCTCTCTTCTGGGTATGAACCCCAAAGAGTCAAAAGCAGGGAGTTGAAGAGAGATTTGTTCACCCACATTCATTGCAGCATTATTCACACAGCCAGAAGGTGGGAGCAACCCAAGTGTCCATCGACGGATGAGTAGAGACACAAATGTGGTCTCTCCACACAGCGGAATATTATGCAGCTTTAAAAAGGAAGGTAATTCTGCCCTGGCCGGGCAGCTCAGTGGGTGAGAGCATCATCCCTATATGCCACGGTGTGGGTTCAATTCCCCGTCAGGGCACATACATGAATGCGTGGGTGATTGGAACAACAAATCAATGTTTCTCTCTCTAATCAAAAGTTTTTTAATTTAATTGAAAAATTTTTTAAAGGAAGGTAGTTCTGACATGTGCCACAGCATGGATGAACCTTGGGGATATTGCGCTCAGTGCAACAAACAGTCAGAAAAGGACAAAGATCCCCCTGATATGAGGTCCCTAGAGTCGTCACATTCATAGAAACAGAAAGTAAAACAGTGGTTGCCAGGGACTGGGGAGAGGGGTGGCTGGGGAATGTAGTGCTTCACGGGGAAGAGTTCCAGTCTGGGAAGATGGGAAAGTTCTGGGGATGGGTGGTGGTGATGGTGGCACAGCGTGTGACAGTCCTGAATGCCTCAGAGCCGTACACCAGAAAAGGTTAACGTGCTGACATCGTTGGCTGTGTGTGTTTTAACCACCCGTTGTTTTTTTTCAGGGGGGAGCGGACGGAAAGCGATGACAACCAGGCACAGGAAGCACGTGACTTCTGGGTAGAAGGAAGGAAGAAACCTGAATTAATACGCCAGACCCCAAGACACCAGGGCACCCAGCGGCAGCATCTCATGCAGCTTCCACCTCTTGGGGTGTACTGGACCCCTGGCCACTGCTCCTTCCCCATCACTCACTCCATCCAGCAGATGACAGGTAAGGCCACACTTCTCACCTCCCTGGGCAGAGTGGAAAGGATCTGGGATGGAGCATCAAAGCCTGAGTTTCAATCCCTCCCCCTCCCTGGACCTTCATCCCCCACCACCACCACCCCCGCCCAACACACACACTCTAAGCGCGGGGTTGGGGAAGGAGGCGGGAGGTCGCAGAGGTCCCCAGCTCCGTGGACCTCTGCGATCTGAGTTCATGAACTGCGCTTTGTGATAGTTTCCTGTTTTTGTTCTCTTGCTTCCTCTCCTGCTCTGTCCCGGTGACGGATTTAGAGCTGCGGGGCTGCCTTCTGGTCCAGGGGCCCAGATGAGTATGTCCTGGGCCCTCTGAGCTGGGCCGGAGCCTGGGAAGGGACAGTCCCCAACCTCTGGGGCTTGCATCTGGGGTTCACGATGAATCCCAGTGAAATCCTCCCTCCTCCGTGAGAGGGGACTTCCCTCCCATTCCCATAGACCAGTGGTTCTCAACCTTCCTAACGCCGCGACCCTTTAATACAGTTCCTCATGTTGAGGTGACCCCCCAACCGTAAAATTATTTTCGTTGCTACTTCATAACTGTCATTTTGCTACTGTTATGAATCGTCATGTAAATATCTGATATGCAGGATGTATTTTCGTTGTGACAAATTGAACATAATTAAAGCATCGTGATTAATCACAAAAACAATATGTAATTATATATGTGTTTTCCCATGGTCTTAGGCGACCCCCGTGAAAGGGTTGTTCGACCCCCAAAGGGGTCGCGACCCACAGGTTGAGAACAGCTGCCATAGAGCCTCCTCTTCTGTCTAACACATGGGAACTTCTCTTTTCTCCCGGCATCCTTTCAGTAACATTTAAAGAGTGGCACGTAATGTAACATATGAAGCACGCATGTACATTCTATACAGCAGGGTAGTATGGACAGGCCTGAACCCAACACTCAACACAGGCATGAAATGTTCCTAAGTCCTGCATCTGCCTGTGCGTTCCTCGCTCCCACCCAGATGTAGCCACCCTCCCGGTGCTCTTAGTGCTTTATCGCGTATGCATGCCTATTCTATGTTGTTTCGTACTTCTTGGCACAAATTATCTGTAGACATTTTTAATTGTGGTTAAATTCACGTAACACAAAATGTACCATCTTAACCATTTTTCCATTTTCAGTGTGCTTCTTTATCCACAGCTGAGACACGTGTATTAAAATATCTCACTATGCTGGTGGTTTGATCTCTTTGTAGTTTTTTCAAGATAGATGCTTATCCATGTAGAACTATGAATTGATCCTTTAATTTAGGCACCCATTTTATCCCTTATCAATATCTTTGTACTAAAAGTCCTCTTTGCCTGATAGCACTAGTTGGCGGTGGTAAGTACATGCGTGGTTTTTTGTAACCAACCTTGAGTTTTCTCATACAAAACGGAAACTCTACCCATCGAACAACTCACCAGGCCCTGGCAACCACTGTTCTGCTTTCTTTTTCTGTGGATTTGTAACGTCTTCTTTTTTTGAAATATGTTTTTATTGATTTGAGAGAGGAAGGGAGAGGGAGAGAAAGAAACATCAAGGGTGAGAGAGAATCACTGATTGGCTGCCTTCTGCACACTCCCCACCCCACACCCCACACCCCACACTGGCGATCGAGCCCCCAACCCGGGTATGTACCCTGACCCGGAATTGAACCATGATCTCCTGATTTACAGGTTGATGCTCAACCAAGAGCATGCCTCTGGGCTGGAACGTCTTCTTTTTAATCGTATAATGTTCCTGTTTTCGTTCCTAATAATGGTCACTTGTGCCTTCGTTTGTTTTTAAATAGATAGGCCCATTCTATTCGTTTTCTCAAGAACCGATTTTTGGCTTTATCCAGCCTGTCTACTTCGTTTTCTAGTTTATTGATTTCTGCTCATTATTCTCTGTGAGTTTACTTTTGGGTTTACTTGGTTTTTTCCTTTTCTAACTTCTTGACTACTTACTTCAATTTGGATGTTTATTTCAGACTATTTTCGAGTACAAGCATCAAGGCTATAACTTTCCCTCTAAGTACCAGGTTTGATGCATCCCATAAATTTTAATATATGTTTTGTCACTACTATTCAATTCTAAATTTTTTTAAAATGTGTTATTACTCTTTTTTTCCTTTGACCTATGGGTTATTTAGGGCATGTTTTTACACGACCAAATATATGGAATTTTAAAACCTTTTAAAAAATTTGTATTCTCTGATTTATAGGTACCTATCAAGCTTTTAAACTATGTTTCAGCTCTTCTATTCATTTACTGGGGTGTTTTTTGTTTGTTTGTTTGTTTTTTGGTCTGCTTCATTATTTGTAGTTGAAAGAAGTGTATTAAAACCTCTTCCTTTGGTGGTGGTTTTATCTCTTTGTAGTTCTTTGAAGCTAGATGCTTACAAGTTTAGAACTATCCTAACTTCCTGGTGAACTGACCTTTTCATTTAGGCACTTACCCTGTTCCTAGTATTTTTATCGTCAAAGTCCCCTATGTCCGATATCAGTGCAGCTTTCCTGGCTTTCTCCTGGTTACTGCTTGCCGGGGCTGTCTTTTTCCACCCTCTGACTTTCAACCATTCCATACTCCTGTGTCAAGACCCAGGTCACGCCCATTTGCTAGTCACACGGAAAACTGTGGTTTCCAAGGGAACCAGCCTGAATCACATTAAAAATCTGAGGATTTGTAAAGATCATGGGCCCCTGGTTGTCCCTGTTGATAGCCCAGCTGTAGCCTGGGGGGCAGCAGAGACATCACCAGAAGGAGAAAGATTGGCTAAGTGGGCCCACCAGAAAGGTCCTCTGGGTTGTTTATCAAGACTGTTTCTCATTCATTTGCTAATCCACCCATCCATCCATCTACTGACTGAACAGTTATTAAGACCTACTGTGTGCCAGGCAATGTTACTTCCTGGTGGCTGTAGCTTCTGCCCTCATGGATGGAAAGGCCAGTGGGGAGGGAGGGGAGACTGACATGTCAGATCTCAGAATGCAGTACACATATGTCTAACAAAGCCATGGGCACAGGCCTGGTTTGCCCCAACGGTGACTCGGTTTCTTACAGATGGGGACAGTAACAGTACCTACCTCGTAGAGTTGGGGGATTAATTAGTTCATGTTTGTGGAGTGCTTGTGACCTGCGGTCAGTAAATGTTTACTTTATTGTATTACTGTTGTGATTATTTTTGTAGTTATTGTTACTATTATTATTCGGACCCAGTGGAGACCACAGAGCCCCCACCACAGCAGGGCCCACTGTCTGATCCCCTGGGGTGCCCCCTCAGCCTCTAGCTTGGATTGGGGGAGTGTTTCCTGCAGCCGCACCGTGGGCTGGAGTTCAGTTCCACTCTCTTCTCCATCTTCTCTCTGTATCATTCCGAAGCCCAGCGAGCGGCCTGTCTTGGGCTTCCCCGGGTCCCTGCTGACAAGGGCTGCCCTCGACACCACATACGATAGTAACAGCAGCCAAAGAGAAGGGCATGGCCTCTCCCTGCCCTCCCAACTCAGGAACGAGGTTTGGCCCGAGCCCTGAAAATACTGAGGCATCCCTTTGGCAAGGCCCCATCTTTGGGGGAGGGGGGCGGGCTGAGAAAGCAAGGAAGCCTGCTGCTGTCCTGTCTCTCCCGGGCCAGCTGGCCCCTGGGCCTCCTGGCCACAGCTGGAGCAAGAAGGCTGGATGTGTCAGGACCAAAAGCCTCCTGGCAAGACCCTCCCCACCATCGGACTCCCCCTCACCTGCTCACTGCATCTGAGGATCCTGCAACAGGTGACAAAGCCTCCAGGAAACACACTACAGTTTCTCAGACCCTAATCCCGACCTCTGTTCCCCACCTGGATGCGGAGGGGAGACCCCACAAGCCAGGTCTGGAAATGGAGGCTGAGGATTTGGGCTACAGTCGGACTGATCCCATAACCTCTGTCTGTGCCTGGGCTGCTGGGGGCTGGGAAATTTCCTGAGGCTCTGGGCCTCAGGCTGTCCCTGTATCAGCTGGGTCGGGACAGGTCCAGGTTGAAAGCTATGCGGGTATGAAGGTCTAAGTAGATCGTGCTGGGCTGTTAGCTGGAAGCCTCCAAGTCCCACCCACGTTTCCCTAGGAAAGCCCAGCTCTTTATCTGCGTTGCTAGGGTGACCCTGTTCTGGACAGGTCCTGACTTAGGGTATTTTCTTCCCAGAAGGGACCCCAACAGTGTGTCCTGTGAGATTTGGGGCTTGTAGTCATCCCTGTCTTCTGTGCCCACACATCGCACCAGAATCCTGTGTGCACGCACATCACGCACACACGTGTACCTGCTTGCCCACGTGTGGGCACTCATCACCTCTAAATTGAGCATGCCCAAGGGTCAAGTTGTGGCCCCGCTTAGCGGCAGCTTCCGCCTTCTTCTGCCTAGACTCTGGCAGCCCAGGCGGAGGAAGCCGCCTTCCACGTGGCCTCCCAAGAACCGCTCAGATAATGAGAGGAAATGCAGTCACCAGCTTACAAAAGGCTGGCGGCTCCGCCGCGACTCCAGGCCACCACTCCCTGACCCCACTCTCTATCTCCGCAGGCCCCCTCAGCTGCCAGCCCGTGGATGCCATCTGAGATGTCCCCTTTCTGTTGCTGGGGCCTGCCCGCAGCTCTTCTTGCTCTGCTCTTCTGCCCAGGTGAGCCAGTGCCTGGGGTTCCTGACTGGGCCTGTGCCAGCCCAGAGGGTGGGCTGCCTGCTCCCCCGCTTTAGGGGCAGGGTGCTAACCCTGAAGTCTCAGAGGCTTTGACATAGTGGCCCCAGCCATGGGCACAGGATGCTATGGACACCTGGGCAGCAGGTGAGGGGCCTGGCCTTTGGGACACCAGGTTGAACAGCCCCACAGCTTCATGGTGTGGATGTGGCAGGTCATGGAGACTAAATGGTGGGCTGAGTAGGGGCCTCAGGAGGTGAAGGGTGCTGGGGTTCAAGAGAAGGTGCAGGCACGGCCGGCATAGCTGGTCTTCAGATGCGGCCTAGAGGACAGAAGAGGGCAGCAGAGGGCCTCACCTTCTGGCTAGCCTCAGAGCGAAAGTGAAACCCCTGCCAGTGGGTCAAGGGGACGTGAGGGAAAATGCCACCAGGTGCCAAGCACCCCGTTTTGCACAACCTGCCAGATGCTTTTGAAGTGCCATCTCATTGAACCTTCACAACAGCTTTGGGACAGGAATTACTAGCCCATTTCACAGCTGAAGAAACGGAGGCTCAGAGAGAGCAAGCACCCTGCCGAGCTGGCACACGGTGAACTCAGGATTCAAACCCAGCTCCATGTACCTGCAAAGCCCGTCTCTTGCCACTTCATTGTGTTCAACCATCTGGGCGCTGCGTGGGGGCATGTGGGCATGGTGCTAGCACAGGACCCAGGCTGGGCCCAGCTGGTTGGGATGGAGGACCGTCCTGGTCGTTGCTGAGAGAGAGGTGAGTGCTGAGGGCTCAGTCTCCATGCATCAAATGCTTCCTGAGTCTGTCACACACAGGACAGTGGGGGACAGGGTCCTGCCTTCTAGAAGCTCTAAAATGGCGAAGGGAGAGTCCGTAGGAGTGTGAATCACTGGGACAATCCCGGGCCATGGGCAGGGTGGTCCCATTTCCTTTCTGACCTCGCTTCCCCTGCATTTTTCCTCGCTGAGCTAGAGCACCCTGACACCTCGCTCTTCCACAGGCAGACACAGCTCACCCCCTCCCGACCCAGGGCGTCTCCTAGAAATACTCCCCCAGATATGGGCAGGGCTCGCCCCCACCTCCCTCATGTCTTTGTTCAGATGTTGTTATTTCGGTGAGGCCTGTGCTAAAGTGCCCCTCCCTCCCCACAAACACATACACATACACCCCCCTGTTTCCTTTCCCAGGCGCTTACCACTGTCCAATGGGCTGGATGTTTGTTTATTGTTGTCTGTTTTCTTCACTGGAATGTGAGCTCTGTAAAGGCAGGATTTGGTCTGCTCTGTTCACTCCCGCAGAGCCTAGAACAGTACCAGGCACAACGCGGGCGTTCAAAAAGTATTTGAGAAAGAAAGGAGAGGAGGGAGGGATGGGTTGAACCCTGGGCCACAGGAGCTCCGAAGACATAGTCCACCTCCATCTCAGAGAGGCCTTGGTGGAGGAGGGAGGGCACACTGGGGCCTTGAAGGTGGAATGGGGTCCCCTTCCATGGAGAGAGAAGTGCGTGAGGAAGACGAATCTGCCTGGAGGTGACAGGCTGGAGGAGGGGCACCCAGAGGCAGGGAGACAGCCCATGAGGCCTGAACAAGGGCCAAGCGTCTAGGAGCAGAGGGACCATCCCTGGCCTTCCTTCTTTGGCCCCGCCCCCTCGATCAGAGTGGGCAGCTCCACTGGGCAGGACAGCGGGGACATCTGCTGCCCAGAGTTTCTGGTCTTCCAGGGTCTGGCGAGGAGGCGTTCGAGGTCTACATGTCGCCAGCGCAGCTGCTGGTGAAGCACGGAGGGTCCTCTGAGATCAACTGCAGCACCAGCTGCCTGCAGCCCACCGTCAGCGGCTTGGAGACCACCCTAAGCAAGACTCTGCTGCACAAGCAGCCTCAGTGGGAGCTCTACAGGGTCTCCAACGTCTCCACGGACACGGTCGTATATTGCCACTTCACCTGCTCTGGGAAGCAGGTGCAGCGGAATGCCAGCGTCACCGTGTTCTGTGAGTGCCTCTCGCTCGGCCCTCCTCCCCCAGCGCAGTGCCTGCCCCTGGGTGCTCCGCTCCTCCCGGGCTCCTGGGGGGACAAGGAGCAGGACCGAGGCCCTGGGCTCAGAGTCTGCTCCCACCCTTCGCTGGCCTCCGTGGGCCTGTGGCAACCCCGCCTTTGAGGCTTGCTCCGAAGAGGGCGATCGCAGTGCTCACAGCCTCCTCCCAGCTCAGCAGCAGCCCGTCCGGGGAACAGCCCGTATCCCATGGGGGCACCATCAGGAGGGCGGCACACTCTCCAGGGGAGGTTGAGGAGTCCCCAGGTGCTTTTCTCTCCCCTTGAGGGCCCTCGGCAAATGTGAGACCATCACACTCACGCCTGCCCATGGCCACGGAGGTCCGGAGAGGCCGGGATTCTCCCAACATCTCGGCACTAAGGGTGCCGCTGGGATCCTCCCCATTAATGGATCAAATACATGATGCCCTCGATCCAACATCCTATCCCGGTGTGACTGGGGTGAGATGTCTGGCTCAGAGGGAAATGCAGGCCGCACCCAGGGCTCCGTTGGATAAGGGATTGAGAGGGCCGTGAACCTGACCCTGAGGATGAAGGCAGGTCTGACTTTGGCCCCCACCTGTTAAGTGAGAACTCACAGCTCACGCCCAGTTCCAGTGAGCACTCCGTTCTAAGCCTCTCTGAATATAAGTGCCCAACTGTTTAGTTTTTAAAATTCTGGAGAGGAAGGAGACAGATGCAGGCATGTGCATCTTTCTAGTTGGCTGCACAGTCTCTGACCCTCTCTTTGGAGACACCCAACCACCTCCATTCTTGTCCACGGCAGAACCCATCACATTCGTAAGACTACCACCCGGCACACCCTTCATCCTAAACGACCTCCTTCTTCCTCTCTTACACTTTGGAGCAGGCCAGGCCCCAGCCTCCGCAAGTCCAGCCGGGGACCGGAGCACACGGTGCTGATAGGGGGTGCTCTTGGCTGGGTGGGCCCGCTGGGACCGTGCCTTCAACCTCCCCCACTTTCTCCCCTGCAGACCCCCCAGAGCAAGTGCTGCTGAAGCTACAGCCCACTTGGGTGACTGTGGGCAAAGTCTTCACCATGGAGTGCAGGGTGCCGGCGGTGGCACCTCTTGAGAACCTCACCCTCACCTTGCTCCGTGGCCAGGAGCCCCTGCACATGCAGAGATTTGAGGGGGAAACAGCTGCCCCCCAAGAAGCCATGATCACACACAACAGCACGGCTCACAAGGAAGACGGTCGCCACAACTTCTCCTGCCGGGCGGAGCTGGACCTGCAGCCCCGTGGTGGGAATTTGATCCGAATAATCTCAGAGCCCCAGGTGCTTGAGATCCATGGTGAGGAGGAGGCCCTCCGCCTGCCCCGGAGAGGGGGTGGGGGGGACAGGGCATTCACGTTAGGCCTTGAGGGATGTCAGAACCTCAGCCCACTCTCTGCCAGCTCAGGGGGGTAGGCAACAGGGGCCCCACACTGGATCCTGAGAGGGGTCCCTCTTACGTTCCCTCCTCCCTGAAGCTCTCTCCAAGCCCCAGCGTGGACCTGGACTAGTTGCTTGGCCGTTAGTGAGCTGTGTGACCTTGACCAAGTCAACCTGCTCTCTCTGGCTCCTCTCTACAATGAAAAGTTGGACCTAACCGACCCCTCAGGTCTTCTAGAACCCCACTGTTCTTGATTCTTTTCGTTATTGTTGATCCTCACCTGAGGATATTTTCCAACGATTTTAGAAAGAGTGGGCGAGAGGGAGGGAAGGGGACAAAGAGAGAGAAACATTGATGTGAGAGAGACACACTTATTGGTTGTCTCCTGCGCGCGCACACCTCGACCCGACCGGGAATCAAACCCACGACCCTTCCGTGCTCACCTACACCAGCCAGGGCGGTTCTGTGACTCCTGATGGCAGGTGTTCCCTGTCAGAGAGTTTGGTAGAATCTCACTCAGCTCTGCCCAGGGAGGGGCTGGCGTGCACTGTCCAGGCCATGGTGCCTGAGCCCACAGGCTGCCCTCAGTCTCACCGAGGCCTGCTGGTAGCCCAGACCCCAGCTCACCTTTCCCCCAGTTAGTGCACCATCTGTCACTCGTCTCCGTGACCGGGTGACTGCAGGACGGATGAGGGTGGACCTCACTCCCCCTTGGGCCCTGGCACCTAGGACCAGGGCACTTCTTCTTTTTTTTTAAATCTTTATTGTTGAGAGTGTTACATGTTTCTCCTCTTTCCCCCATCGACCCTCTTCAGCCCCCTCTCTCCGCCCCCCGCCCCCAGCCCTCACCACCCCACTGTCTGCATCCACGGGTTATGCATGTGTGCACGCGAGGCCCGGAGGCCGTCTCAGCCCGCTGCCCTCTCCCCTAGAGCCCACGCCGGACAACCAGATGGTCATCATCATCGCCGTCGTGTCGGTGCTGCTGCTGCTGTTTGTGGCGTCCGTCCTGCTGTGCTTCGTCTTCGGCCAGCAGTGGCACCAGCGGCGGCGAGGCAATTACGGGGTACAAGCCGCGTGGAGGAGGCTGAGACGCTCCTACCGGGCATAGCCTGCGTGGCCCCGGCCCCGGCAGCCACTGGGACTCAGCGTGGCTCTCAGCGATGTGGCCACGGCCACGGCAGCCACTGGGACTCAGCGTGGCTCTCAGCGATGTGGCCCGGCCACGGCAGAAGGACAGTGACAAGCCGCAGAGGACTTGGGGGACGTTTCCTTTTCTAGTCTGAATACAAACGCCTGGACCTAACCCTGTGCCTCGCGTCTCCTCCTGGGAGAGTGCTCAGCAGCCGGGAAGGTGACGCATCGGGCTGATACTTCTCTCCCTAGAAGCCTCCTCAGTGTCCCTCCACCCTCCGCTTCACCGAGGACTTGGGCCAGCCCAGCCCGGGGGCGCCCCCATGCTGACCGGCCTCAGCACCGGGCACCCACCCTCATTGGCCGAGTGACAAGGGCCTCCTCGGTGGGGTTGGGGCGGGCCCTGGCCTGGCCGGGCAGAGACACTCTGTTCCCACACGGCCCTCGGGAACTGGGGCCACTCCCTGCCGGAGCAGGACACGGCCACAGAGCCAGCTTCCTGTTGGTGGAGTGGAGGGTGGGGGCCCTAGGGGTCTGGCGCAGCTCCAGGACCCTCCCAGTCAGGATTCTTCCGCATCTTGGCCTTTACAAGACAACAAAACCAGTCTTCTCTGGCCTCCTCCTCCATTATTAGGCCAAGCGGAGACCCCGCAGCCCTGGCCTTCCCAGAGAGAGGGGTGAGGGACTGAGGTCTGGGGGGGCTCTGGTTCCCAGCCTCCCCCTCGCCCGGGAAGCTAACAGTGGGGCAGAGGTGGGTGTTCACGTGGGTCGAGGGCCTTGAACAGTGAGTAACCTAATGAGCTTACTCCAGAGAAGAGATGGGCTGGCTCAAGGTCTCAATGGGAAGGAGAGGAGACTGATTCACCCTGGAGGGGAGGGCCTGGTCGGGGTTGGGCAGAGAAGGGCTGTCAGGTGTGGCTGTGAGCACCAGAGGGGCCCTCGGGGGCTGTATCCAGCCTCGCAGTGCAGCTGGAGTGGGTCCCTGGGCCAGCATCTGTCTTCATAGTAAGCTCTCAGCATCATAGTAATCTGGGTGGGGGGAGACAGCACCCTCATCTTGACTCCCTCCTGCCTCAGTGGACCCCAAGGAGGGAAAGGGAAGGGGACGGGCCAGTTGCCTGCAGCAGTGACGGTACCCCCGCCCTCAGGGGAAGATGACCCCCCTAGCCTCCTGGCCCATCCCTAGGCCTGGAGCCTGCTGCCCACACCCCCTGCCCCTACCTGAAGCCGGGGGTACATCCGCACCCACAGTCCCTGTGGCACTGGGGGGTGGGGGTGGGGGCACGGCTCTCCTGAGATGGGGAGGAGAAAAGAAATGCCCCCTCAGAAGTGACCTCTGCGGTTTGACCCACAGCAATCTCCACCCGCCCCAGCCCCAAGGCAGCTCCTCCAGCCCAGCCAGAGCAGGGCCTGGCCTCACTTACACCCCCCTCTTCCTGGCAGGAGGGCGCTGCTGGATCCTGGGTGCATCCTGCAAGGGGGGCTGGTGTGGCGGAGGGGGAAGGAAAGGCGCTGGCCAGGGAGGCTGGAGGCCCGGAGCGGGCGTCGGGCAGGGCAGGTAATGGTGGTGGAACACCAGAGGCCCTTCCTCCTGGGCTTCCAGCTCCTCTTCCTCCTCACCCTCCTCCTTCGGACTCTCCAAGTGGACCTGGGGGTTGCGAGAGAGTGGGGGGGGGGTGACACAGGGTCAGGTTCTCCCCACCCCCACTCCTCCGTGCCTCTACATTATTTTTCCAGATCTGCTTCATCAACTGGTTCTTGGTATTTGCTACATGTAAGCAGGCACTTTGGAGACAGTTTGCAGGTGGGAACCTGAGGCTTGAAGAGCCTGAGCCGCTGGTCGAGGTCACCCAGCTAATGAGAGGCGAGCAGGGACTGGAAGAATCCAGGTTTGACTCCAGAGCTGGGTGGGGGCCAGGAAGCTGCACCTGGCCTGCCCCAGGCCCTGGAGCCACTCATCCCAGGGCCGCTGGAGGGCTCTGCCAGCCTGGGTGGTGGACACGCCCTCACCTCCAACCATCAAGACCCCATGTGGCTGTCAAGGGCTGGTTCTAAGCAGTGATGGCGAACCTATGACACGCGTGTCCGAGGGGACAAGTGAACTCATATTTTTGGTTGATCTTTCTTTGTTAAATGGCATTTAAATATACAAAATAAATATCAAAAATATAAGTCTTTGTTTTTCTATGGTTGCAAATATCAAAAAATTTCTATATGTGACACGGCACACGCGTTAAGTTAGGGTTTTTCAAAATGCTGACACGCCGAGCTCAAAAGGTTCGCCATCACTGTTCTAGGGCCACCTGCCCCTCCACGGAGCCTTTCCTCATGCCCAGCCAGGGGGGCACGCAGGCAGGGCACCCCTCCTGTGCCGGCACAGCCAAAGTTGCCTGGTGTGCGTAGTCATTCATTTATTCATTGGCTTCTCAGCAAACATTAGCCCCTAAGTACCAGGCGCCTGCAGGTCCAGGTGCAATGGCGCCCGTCCTCCTGGGCCTGCAGCCCACGGAGGGACACACTGCAGGGACGCCTGCTTGAAAACAAGGACTGCGTGGTCTGGATTAGGGACCCCCAGCCCCACTCCCCAGCCTCCCACCTGCGGGCCAGAGAAGGCGGGCCAGGGGCTGAGTGCTGCTGCCACCAGGCGACCCAGGATCAGCTGGTGCATCTGGGCGTTCTGCAGCAGCAGCAGCTCCATCAGGTC